CCGCTTTTCGTAAAAAGCTTCGATTTAATAATAATGACAATAACTGCAATTATGTAGCCCAAATCCACACTCTGCAGCATGTCCCACGCGCTTTACAACAATTTATTGTTACCCCAGCAGGCCCAGGAACACCCACATAAAGTTCAAGCTGCGCTGTCTATAGCCGGGGGTATCCATTCCTATCTGGGTGAAGTGAGGAAATTTCGTCTAAAGTGCCTCTCTCAAGAACACAATGCTGGGGCCCTGAAGGGATTCGAACTAATGACTCGCGGCTGTGAGTCCATCAAGCGCCCGACAACCACGCCGCGATTGGACACAGCTTTATTTCTATTCCCTCCTGCTCACAGAATAATTTGTGAGGCAGCGTGGTGGAATCAGACTGTCGTCAATTTTGAGGCATGTAGAGTTATTGGTATCATCTTAAAGCTTGTCCACTTGTCTTTATTTGGATGAAAAAAAATATCCATTTATCTTGAAATCAAGTCGAGATACTTGCAAATAAAGAAGGTGGGGGGTCACCTGTTTTCAGAGGTAAAATTAGTGAGAAAATGGCCGCCAACGATTAGTTATTTCCTTAGATTAAGAGTCCGTGGTAACTGAAAATTTATATTTTTTGTGAATTAAATTAACGTTTTTCAGAACAATCCCCACAGAAATAAGTTCTTTAATGGGCATGAAAGTTGTTCAGCCAAAAAACGAAAATTTTGATAAAAATTCACAAACCTGCGGAAAAATGCAAGTTTCTTCAGTTTGACTATTTTGACGAGAGCTTGATTCCACCGCGCTGCCTCACATTTGTTTGTTGGAGTAAACAGAAGCACATCAACACAATAATGGTCATGTTATAGTGCTGGGGAAAACAAACAAACAGAAAGACAAAATAACAGAAGGAAAGTAAAGAAGTAGGATCTACCAATGGCGCTCTACAACTAGAGGTGGGCAAAATCAGGATAAATATCCGGAAAATCGGATAATCCTCAATAAGTACAGTATCCGAATTCAGACTCTTAGCTCTCTTTCCTGACTCGTTTGCCGAAGTGGGTACACCCATTCGTTGAAGTGATGCTAACCCGTTTGTCAAAGTGGTTCTAACCCGTTTGCCGAATCGGTTCATAACATATTATTTACCAAAGAGGTGCACTAACATATTATCCGGATTTTGCTAAAGCGACCAATTGCCTAGCTCTATCTCCAACCATACGCTTACAATATAAAACTTCTGGAAAGGCTCCCGTCACCAAACCGAACCACTCACTTATTAAAACAATGCTAAAATTCAACGATTGTGCAGCGATAGATAGATCTAGTACGAATGTCTGCTTACGTTTCAACGTGAATCAAAACTGCGTCTGTATGAATGCATGTTCATGTACATGTGTTGTGTCTGGTGTTTTATTTCTTGGGATTGCGCGATATAGAAATCATCATCATTACTATTATCATTATTTTATTATTATTACTATTATTATTATTTCATCATCATTATTATTATTATTATTATTTTGTTAATAATATT